CAATACCAGGGGTGAAATCCAGCAGGTTCTGACAGGTTCTGGAGAACCAGTAACAGAAATTTTGAGCAGTTCAGAGAACCGGTAGCGGAAATTTTGAATAGTTCGGAGAACCAGCAAATACCACCTCTGGCTGGCCCCAGACTGGGGTGGGAATGGAGTTTTTGCAATATCCTTCCCCTGGAGTGGGGAGGGGAATGGGGATTTTGCAGTATCCTTCCCCTGGAGTGGGGTGGGAATGGAGATTTTGCAGTATCCTTCCCCTTCCACGCCCGCCAAGCCACACCATGCCCACCAAGCCACGCCCGCGGAACCGGTAGTAAAAAAATTTGGATTTCACCACTGTCCAACACTGGAAGTTTTTAAGAAGAGACTGGACATCAATTTGTCTGCAATGGTACAGAGTCTCCTGCTTGAGCAGGGAGTTGGACTTAAAAGACCTCCAAGGTACTGATAAAATCTACCGGTTCGGCAAACCGGTAGTAAAAAAAAAAAGCTACCGGTTGGTCCAAACCGGTATTTCCAATGATCAGCTGTGCCGTGCGATTTATATTCACGAAAAGCAGGAAATCCGGCTTTCTAGCAAATCTAAATTGTGCGGCACAGCTGTTCCATCCCCCTCGCTGTTCTACTTGCCTTCAAATGGCTCCTTTTTCCATGCGAAGTGCACATTTGGTGTGCACTGCGCATGCACGCGCAGCGAACAGGTGGAGACCCGTAGAGGATTTCACCACTGCTCCAAGGTTCCTTCCAACTCTGTTATTCTGCTATTCTCCTTCCTTCCTTCCTTCCTTCCTTCCTTCCTTCCTTCCTTCCTTCCTTCCTTCCTTCCTCCCTCCCTCCCTCCCTCCCTCCCTCCCTCCCATCCTCCCTCTGCTTCCTTCCTTCCTTCCTTCCTCCCATCCTCCCTCTGCTTCCTTCCTTCCACCCTTCCTCTGCTTCCTTCCTTCCTTCCACCCTTCCTCCCATCCTCCCTCCCTCCCTCTGCTTCCTTCCTTCCTTCCTTCCTTCCTTCCTTCCTTCCTTCCTTCCTTCCTTCTTTCCTCCCATCCTCCCTTCCTCCCTCTGCTTCCTTCCTTCCTTCTTCCCTTCCTCCCTCTGCTTCCTTCCTTCCTTCCTCCCTTCCTTCCTTCCTCCCTTCCTTCCTTCCTTCCTTCCTTCCTTCCTTCCTTCCTTCTTTCCTCCCATCCTCCCTCCCTCCCTCTGCTTCCTTCCTTCCTTCCTCCCTTCCTCTCTCTGCTTCCTTCCTTCCTTCCTTCCTCCCTCCCTCCCTCCCTTCCTCCCTTCCTCCCATCCTCCCTCTGCTTCCTTCCTTCCTTCCACCCTTCCTCCCATCCTCCCTCCCTCCCTCTGCTTCCTTCCTTCCTTCCTTCCTCCCTTCCTTCCTTCCTCCCATCTTCCCTTCCTCCCTTTGCTTCCTTCCTTCCTTCCTCCCTTCCTCCCTCTGCTTCCTTCCTTCCTCTCTTCCTCCCATCCTCCCTCCCTCCCTCTACTTCCTTCCTCCCATCCTCCCTCCCTCTGCTTCCTTCCTTCCTTTCTTCCTCCCTTCCTTCCTTCCTTCCTCCCTTCCTCCCATCCTCCCTCCCTCTGCTTCCTTCCTTCCTTCCTTCCTCCCTTCCTCCCATCCTCCCTCCCTCTGCTTGCTTGCTTGCTTGCTTGCTTGCTTGCTTGCTTGCTTGCTTGCTTGCTTCCTTCCTTCCTTCCTTCCTTCCTTCCTTCCTTCCTTCCTTCCTTCCCTCCTTCCTCCCTCCCTCCCTCCCTCCTTCTCCATCACTGGAGGCGACACAACTGGACAGCCATATGTCTGAAATGGTACAGGGTCTTCTGCTTGAGCAGGGGGTTGGACTAGAAGACCTCCAAGGTCCCTTCCAACCTTATGTCCTATGGCCAATCCTGAATCGATCCAGATTCTTTTCTATGATTCTACGCCTTATTGTCGCTAGGGTTGAGACCGACTGCTGTAGAGGACATGCAGTTGGACATTATGTTTCCTCTGGCTTGTTGTTGTTAGTTGCGAAGTCGTGTCCGACCCATCGCGACCCCATGGACAACTTTCCTCCAGGCCTTCCTGTCCTCTACCATCCTCTGGAGTCCATTGAAGCTCACGCCGACTGCTTCAATGACTCCAGCCAGCCACCTTCTTCTCTGCCGTCCCCTTCTTCTTTTGCCCTCCATCGTTCCCAGCATTGGGCTCTTCTCCAGGGAGTCCTTCCTTCCTTCTCATTAGGTGGCCAAAGGATTTGAGTTTCCTCTTCAGGATCTGGCCTTCTAAAGAGCAGTCAGGGTTGATCTCCTCTAGGACTGACCGGTTGGATCAGCTTGCAGTCCAAGGGACCCTCAGGAGTCTTCTCCAGCACCAGAGTTCAAAGGCCTCCTGTTGTGGCTCCGTTACCTGAGCCTGTGTCATCGGCAGGAGAGGACTCCGAGAGTGAAGAAGAGGAGTTGGCAAGGCCTCCTCTCCAGGACCCTCCTCTCTGGCAATGCCTTTGGTGTCCACCGAAGGGCAAGAGATAGGGCCGGGGCCAAGCACGTCCATGCAGTGAAATGGACAATTCTTAACTGTGTGTATTTTGTTTACTGAGTAAAAGTTCTTGGCAAGCAGCTACTGGGTTGCTGCCAAGCGTCTTATTGGAAGAATTGGTTGTCTGCCAGTTTATTTAACCCCCGGCTGTCTGTTTGTGTGCGTGTGTGGGACGGGGACAGAACATCTCCATTCTTTGGCCTTCTCAGCCTTCCTTATGGTTCCTCTGGCTTAGTCAATTCTAAATAAATTTCTCCCAGATGTCAAGAATGGGGGACATTTAACTGAGACAGTGATGATAAGACCATCACTGAAGATTGTTGGTGGGCTTCCAAAATTTTGGTATTGGGCAGAGATATTATTTTTGCTTCTTTCTCCCCCTCCTTCAGTTTGTGGAAAGATAATTTGTTCTAGAGATTCATGTTGTCGGAGACGAGAATTCCTGGAGAAAAACATTTCAGAGAAATTCTCACAGGGAAAGTGTGAGTGCAAAATCTTCTCTGCAGTCTCTGTTTTGCACTCACCTCTAAGAAAAGAGTCAGGAGAAACTGTAGGTCTATGGAGAGTCTCAATTGTCCAGGTGGTCCAAAGATATATTTTTTTAAATTTGATTTATATGCCGCCCTTCTCCAGAGACTCAGGGCGGCTTACAATGTGCTCAGCAATAGCCTTCATCCTTTTGTATATTTTATACAAAGTCAGCTTATTGCCCCCACAACTGGGTCCTCAGTTTACCTACCTTAGAAAGGATGGAAGGCTGAGTCAACCTTGAGCCTGGCGAGATTCGAACTTACTTTAATTGCAGACAGCTGGTGTTAAATTACAGTACTTCTGTCTGTTGAGCTAAACCAGGCTCAGTGCCTGGTTGCCCAAAAGGCAACTGAACTTTCTTGTTTTTTTCTTTCTTTTGAAAACATTTCACTTCTCATGTCAGGGTTCCAAGTAATAGACCCATAGCAAGCAAAACTCCGAGGCAGGTAGATTCCTCAAAGAATAGCTTTATTGGACATACAGTATCATATTGGCACAGATCTGGTGAAAACCGACTCTGAAGGTTCCCGCAGTTTTCATCTAATTAAAAGTGAAAGTTTGTCACTTTCTCAAAACAATCAGCCGCATGGTCCAATCACGGCTCTGTCTGGTTGCCCGGTGACATCACTCCGCCTTCCTCTGACCAGGTGTGAGAATGACCTTGGTTCCCAAGAGAACGTGTTTTGTTTTGACTACAGTGTCCCAGCTATCTCAGATGGCTTTGGTCAGGTCAGCTTCAGGGTTGACATCTCATCTAAGAAGCTTCTCCGGTTCCTGAAGCTTGAATTGAACTGAACTGAAGCAGTTTCATGAAATTCATGAACTGAAGAAGCTTTTTGGATGAGAAATGAAATGTTTTCAAAGGAAAAAACCAAGGCTGGGTGGGCGTGGCCATGGTGGGCGTGGCCAGGGGGTTTGACAGGCAGCACTTGGCCTCCTGCAACCCTTCTGGGAGCAAAAAACGGGCTGCGGAGGGGGGCACATACCCCCCGCACCCCATTTTGGGCCTAGTCGGCCTCCCTAAAGCCTCCTGGGAGCAAAAAGGGTAGTGGGGGGTGCACTACCCCTTTTTGCTCCCATTTTGGGCCTAGTAGACCTCCTTACACATACCTGACTGTCAAGAAGGGGCATGTGGGATTCAGCTGGTTCTGTCCAGATCGTGCAAACCAGTAGCGGTGACTGCGGGAGGCTTCGCCCACCTGCCGGACTACTGCGTGCATGTGCTCACATTTGCGAACCGGTAGGGAAGGTAAGTGAATCCCACCTCTGGCGTGGGGACTCCTGGAAGGGGAGGGGCGAGGAGGGGCAGAGCCAGCCAGCAATTTAACTAGCGGTTCTCCTGAACCATTCCGAACCGGCTGAATCCCACCACTGCTTTGGGATCAAGAGAGATGTCTCCCATGGGATTTTAGCAGCCAGTGACAGAGGAATGGTCAGAACAGTTGAGTTGACCAAGGATGAGGTGTGAGTAGATTTATTTATTTTTATTTTTTTATTTATTTATTTTTATATGCCGCCCTTCTCTGGAGACTCAGGGCGGCTTACAATGCGCTAAGCAATAGCCTTCATACTTTTGTATATTTATACAAAGTCAGCTTATTGCCCCACAAACTGGGTCCTCATTTTACCCACCTTAGAAAGGATGGAAGGCTGAGTCAACCTTGAGCCTGGTGAGAATTGAACTCGCAGTAATTGCAGGCAGCTGGATGTTAAATGCTGCCTTAGTAGGAGGCATTAGCCTCCTACGCCACTCAGGCTCTTCATTGCCTTCGATTGTTCAATTAGCACCCCAGGGATTGCCAGTCTTCCTGGTTTCCCAAACTCTGAGGAAGTTCTAATGGAGGAGAAACTTTAGGAGGAAATCACCCAGTGTTTTAGGTGAGTGATGAGCTTTTCCTAGCTGATTTGGAGAGATTTACTATTCCCAAATTGAATCTTGGTGCTTCTCCAGTTCCCCAGGTCCTGAAGAGCTGCACAGAGTTTGTGGAACAGCGTGGGATCGTGGACGGCATCTACCGGATCTCCGGAGGATCTTTAAACATCCAAAAATTAAGGTAAAGGTGGGAATATCAGTTTGGATTGGAGTACCAAACAGCATCTCTAAACTGAGAGAGAGAGAGAGAGAGAGAGAGAAAGAGAGAGAGAGAGAGAGAGAGAGAGAGAACCATGACCTGGTCACTGTGATACAAAAAAGACGTTGAGACTCTAGAAAGAGTGCAGAGAAGAGCAACAAAGAGGATTAGAAGGCTGGAGGCTAAAAGATACGATGAACGTGTTGCAATATTTTCAGGATCAGACTCAATAAAGATAATAGGAGTTAGAGCTTTAAATATATTTCTTTTTAATTATGATAGGCATTCTATATTCACTGAATATTCAAGGTAGAAGCGACGAGAATGGTGAGGGTGGCTCCTTATATATACAAGGGGTGGAGCTAGGAATGGGAGTGGTAAGTTATGAATACATTAAAGTCCAAAGAATAAGTTAACCTCTGATGTTCCATATATACATTATTTACACATTGGAGAATAAGGCATTTACATCTGACAAATCCCCTCTAAATGCCGGTTCGTTACACAACACCAATTACATTCTGATTCAGGACAATATAATACATATAATTTAGAAGTTAAATATTTGTGTTGTTTAGAAGGTAAGGGTTTTGTTAATATGTCAGCTAATTGTTCAGAAGTATCGCAATGTATTGCTTTAATGAATCCGTCTTGAGACAGTTGTCTCACATGCTTAAACTTTATATCAATATGCCTGGACCTTTGTCCAATTGCATCGGATCTGGATATTTCAATGGCCGCTTTATTGTCTTCATGCATAATAAATGGTAAGGTGGGTTTCTTCCAAACATCAGTGATCAGATCATTGAACCATACAAGGTTATTTGCAGCTTTGGACAAACAAACATATTCCGCTTCTGTAGTAGAAGTGGCTACTAGTTCTTGTTTACCAGTATACCAGTAAACTGGACAATCATTCAATAGAAAAACATAACCAGAAGTACTCTTTCTGCATGATGTATCACCAGCCCAATCTGCATCAGCATAACAAGTAATTTTTGGTTCTCTGTCATTATTGGGTTCCAACATTAAACAAAAATCTAATGTACCCTTCAGATATCTTAGAATTCTTTTGACAGCTTCCCAATGATACAAGGTTGGTTTACTAACATATCTTGACAATAGATTGAGAGGTAATGCAATATCTGGCCTAGTCCAATTAGATATATAAAGGAGTGAACCTATAACTGATCTGTAAAATGTGTTGTCTTTAAACTCAGGGGAAGATTCATCAGTGTTTCTAAGAAAATCAGTTTGCATAGGGGTGTCACAGGTTTTAGCATTATTTAAGTTACATTTGTTTAGGAGTTCGATGATTTTATCTTTCTGTGTAAGTTTGAATCCCCTTTTAGTTTTGTTAATTTGCACACCAAGGTATTTATTCACTTTACCCAGAGATTTCAGTGAGAAGTGTTCATTTAACTTATTTACAAAGATTTCCCTGCTCTCTTTATGCTTTCCAATGTATAAAATATCGTCCACGTAAATTAATACAAATTCAATATGATCATTACTCTTTTTTACAAAGAAACAGTTATCAGCAGTGGTGGCGTTGAAATCCATGGTCTTAAGTACTTTTACCAAGCAATCGTACCATCTTTTGCCGGATTGCTTTAATCCGTACAGACTCTTATTTAATAACCAAATTTCGTTCTTATTAGTGTATTGACTGTGTGGTGCTCTTACATATATTTCCTTATCTAATTTTGCATGTAAGTATGCGGTCTGTATGTCATATTGGAATACGTCCAGATTGAGTGCAGATGCTACTACAAGGGCTGTTTTGACACTCTCAGTTCTCACTGTGGGTGAATATGTATCAGTATAGTCTTCTGGATATTTTTGTGCATAGCCTTGTGCAACTAGTCTAGCCTTGTATAAGGTATTGCCTCCTTCTAAGTTCTTAATTTTATAAATCCACCTGGTACCTATAATTGTTTTATCCTTAGGTGCGATCGCAGGTGTGAATACATTTAATCCTTGTAAACTTTCCATCTCTTTTTCCATAGCTAGTTCCCATTTTTCTCTTTCTTCATGTGGAAGTTTCAATACTTCTTCATATGTATTAGGTGTTATTTGTTCTCCATTCATATGCATTATGTAATCTTTGTATTTATTTGGTATTTGGTTTCTATTGTTTCTAATAGTTCTTTCAGGCTTGCTATGGTTATCATGCAAATATCTAGCTTCCTTTTTTGTTAATGTGTCTGTCTTTATTTTATGCTGACTATTAGTCCAAGTTTTGGTTTTGTTCTTACTTTTGTTAATATTTTGATTTTCTGTTGTTCCTTCCTCGCAAGATATCGTATCTTTACATTTATTAGGAAATATTTCATTAAGGTGCAATTTTGACCAATTGGCCTGTTCATGGAACACAGCTGTTCTGGATACTATAAATTTGTTATTACTATCAATAAATCTGTACCCTTTGGTTCCAGTTTCGTATCCCATGAATCTTAATCTCCTGGATACGTTTTCTCCCTTTCTCCTCAATTGTTTAGGTATGTGTACGTCTGCAGTGACTCCAAATATGTGCATGTGTGATAATTTGGGTTTTCTATTGTACATCACCTCATATGGTGTCTTATTCACAATACTGGACCAGGTTCTATTTTGAGTGTAATTCGAATAATGTAATGCCTCTGACCAAAATTGTTTGCCTAAACCAGCATCCTCTAATGTGCACCTAATCATGGTTTGTAGTGTGGAATTTTTCCTCTCTGCAACTCCATTTTGAAATGCAGAAAAAAGGATTGGACATGAAATGTAACATTCCTCTATCCTTTAACCATTGGGAGAATTCTTTAGACATGAACTCACATCCCCTATCTGTCATAATTTGCTTTATTCTGATATTATGTTGTGTTTCTATACGTTTGTAGAATTCCTTAAATTTCTGAAATGTTTCATCCTTGTGCTTTAATGTGTAAACAAAACCATATCGGCTGTAGTCATCCACTATAGTTAGGAAGTAACGTTTTCTATAGGTAATTGAGGGACTTAATGGACCAACTAAGTCCATATGTACCAAATCAAAAATATTGTTAGTTGATCTGTTAGATTTTTTTGGTCTGGGACTGGTTTTTAGTTTGGTGGACTTACATACTGAGCATTCCAAATAATTTTCACAATTTTTTATTTTGACACCTTCTGCGTGTTCAGTCATTTTTTGTACTACAGGAAAGCTTGCATGTCCTAACTTCCTGTGTAAGATGTGAGCACACCCATCATGAATTGGTTTACCTATTTTTGGTTTCTTTTCCTTGTATGTATTTTCGTGATCATGAGTTATTCTACACTCATCATTGTCACTGTTACTGACATTTTCATCATCTGCTTCAATACAATCTTCCATATTTGAATCAATGTTATGTAAACATCTTTCTTTAGTTATCAGATAGGGTAGACCTCCTTTTATCATTACAGTACCTACATTTGTTTTGTTCTTTTCTATAGTTGCTTTCCCCTTTGAGAAAACTATATTGATATCAGATTCTCTGCTTAATTTTATGGCACTTAGTATGTTGTGAGGTATTTCTGGGATTAATAATACCCCCTCTATTTTCCCTAGACCAGGCAAGGTCACATTTCCTTTGCCTAGTACTTGAACCTTTTCTTGATTAGCTACCTTTATCACAAACTTATCTTCTATAAATGAAGATAATATACTTTTGTTGTTGGTGGTGTGATTTGTTGCACCAGAATCAATAAGCCAATTGTTATTCTCATCCTGCTGTGTTCTGGTGCTGTCTTGTTTATTTAGCCCATTCAGTGACCCAGATTTCCTCTCTTTTGAATTTTCTCTACCCCCTCTACCTTCTTTGTAATTTGGTGGGCTTCTATATTTGTGTCTATCTGTGGAAGATTGTCTGTAATTATATTTGCTCCTATATTCTGGTCTATGTCTCTCTCTTGAGACTTTGGGGCAGTCTCTTCTACTATGTTCCCTGGATCCACAATTGTAGCATCTAAAGGCCTCGTTATGTTTATCTTGAAAGACTACTTTCCTAAAAGGTTTGTGGTCTGTTTGGTTACTGGATCGATTTTTTCTTGAATTGTCTTCTGCTATCAATTTGTTAGATAGACTTTCTATGGATAAATATCCCAAATTAATGGTATCTAAGTGTGACATAAAGCTATCCCATGATGGATCAAGTGAATTGATAATAACACTTTTCATTGTTTGATCTGAAATCACTTCCCCCCTCAATTGTAGCTCAGCTCTTATTTTGTTTAGATTTATCAAATGCTCACTTATAGAAACCCCTGGTTTTACTCTAGAGGAAAAGAAATCCTTAGACATTCTTGTGGTTGTAGCTACGCTATCGCTGTGAAATAGATTAAACATGCATTGAATTATTTCTGATACAGTTAGGTTTGGTTTGATGCTATGATACATTGCAGGAGACACGCTAGATATTATTATGAAAAATGCTCTATGATGTAAACAATCTATTTTTAAAGTCCAAGGTCTTCTTGGAGGGCTAGTTATAAAGAATAGTAAATTTTCTTTCATGAAAATAACCTGAAGCTGTTGATACCACTCTTGTAAATTAATGCCATCAATTCTAAGTTTTGGGAAGTCACTGGGTAAGTTACCTACATTATTCTGTCCATTACTTACAACCTGGGGCAGTCCGTGATCTCTCAAGTGCAGGAAATTACAGAACGGCATTGGGATGCTTGCAATGAGTCTGCGCGGTTCTCTGGCCAGTTCAAGTCCTTCTGGGTCGTCTACGTAGTTTCGCACATGCGCGTTGTTCATTTCTTCTTTGGTGGCGTCGTGGAAGGTTCTATCCCTTTCAGCTCTCTCGATCCGCTCCTCCTCAGATGAGTCGGTCTCTGGCTCGGTTTTTGGGGTTCTGGTGGTGGTGACGGTTCTTTTCTTCTTTTTGTGTGCGTTGGTATTCGATTTTGTCTGTGGTGTAGGGCGAAATCGGCATGGCTCTCTGGGCTCGGGCGTCGTCGCTTTCGAAGTCAGG